ACTCTTGGGGGAGGCATGTGGCCCCCTGGATTTGTGCGTTGGGTGAAGGTGGGCTGCCCACTGCAGGCTCAGGGCCAGGGGCTGTGCCAGCCTCTTCCTGGGGAGGGGCTGGGTTGAAGCTGTGCTCGGGTAGGGTGGGCTCAGTAGGAGCAGACTGCAGTGCCCCAAGCAGGGGGCAGTGATGGGGAGGTTTGGGGGGCTATAGCCGTCCCAAAATTCCCTGTAGCCTCCCCCCTATCTGCCACCTGTCCTATGCTGCTGAGGCCACCCCGCCCCACCAGCTCCGAGCGCAGCTCTGGCCCAGCCCCTCTGCCTGGAAGAGGCTGGCACAGCTCCTGGCCCTGACCCTGCAGCGGGCAACCCACCCTCGCCCTGTGCACAGATCCGGGGGGCACATGCCCCTCATGCCTCCCTTGGGGGGCTGCACAGCGGCAGGGAGCTACCTCCCACCATGCCTTCATGCCCCCCAGATGAGCCACCTGTGGCTCCATCCCATACCGCACCCCAGTTAGGTAGTGCCTGCCCCTGCTCCTTTCCTTCCCCAACAATGAGAGGCCTTGATCTGTGCCCCCTGTCCCTTCCCCCCACAGACTTACTGGCAGGATGCCGCTCTCCAAGCGTCTGGGCTGCGTTCCTGGCCATGTGCATGCCGTGGCTGCACATGTACATGAGGCATTTATTGGTGACATTATCCACTGAAGAAAAAGTTGATTGCCAATTAATGTTAATTTTCCTGTTATTGGTGCTGATCCGATATGCAACCAATATATTGGTGCACTTCTATACAATATATTGTTCCTTGGTGGCAAATAAGCTGTAAACCAGCTTAGCTGTTTCTGAGATCTTCTTGTACTCTGAATCTGTAAAAGGGAAACAGAACCCCCCCTAAAATGAAAAACCAGCTGTCTGGACACCTTCACTCAGTTTCAGGTCTTAATGCTTGGTCCTTGATGTTAGTGCCTGGAACTCCAACTTATACAGAATCCACCACCACTCTCTTACTGGAGCTTTTCAAATGTCTAAGAGCTGCTCTCAGTGCAGATTGAATCCATCTGCTCTGCAGCCTCTGGATGAATCCAATGTACTTGTGCTCTGTTTCTTTCTCCCAGCAGGCACTGAGAGCAAGATACATGTTTCTTTGGTTGGAAAAAAAAGTTAGTAAAATTCCCCTCAACCTCTTTCAGTTCCTGGATCTCTGGACAGATTTGTTACTCCTCTGGTAGCAGGAGCCAGGGCTCACCCCACCCTGATCAGTCAGGGGGGTTTATTTCTTTTTAAAAGAACAGTTCATTTCAGTCAACCAAACCCTGTCCCCCTTCCCAGAGGATACCCACAGAACATACCCTCTGGGCCCCAGCTACCACAACCCAACTTTCAAACCTGGTTGCTGAGATTATATTTACTCCCTTTGACCTCAGTGATACACCCAACACGGCTGTCAGCCACCACATTTCCCCACCAAGCATGCTCAAGAGGATTGCATTGACCTCACCAAGATGGATGCATTTTGAAACATTCTTTCCTACAGTACAAGGGGTTACAATAGCAAGTTTGCATTTTCTTCTTCTGGAAGCACCTTTATAGCAGGCTGCAGACCTGTCACTGCAAATGGCTCTTTCAGGATAGAAGCAAGAAATAAAATGTCCTTCCCATTTCAAATTCTATATACAAATTTTGAGCTGTTAAAGCAGCACCTCTATCATGTAGACCTATTGGTCTAGACAAGCCTTTTCAAATCCTCAGGATTGTGACCCTTTTCCATTCAAACTGGTGAGACCTCAAAGGAAGACAGGTTATGGTAAAGTACTGGATTGGAAGTCAGTCAATGTAATTTCAATTTCTTGCTCTGCCCACAACTTCCTCTGTGACCTGCATTGGGCCAAATCCAGAGAAGGACCTATGTGCCTGAAGCACAACTTAACTTGAACACAGGTACTTAAGTTCAAGTGAACAAGCCACAAACTGCTTTCACCCACCTTTTACTGTAAAGTGGGTGAAGTCAAAGACTCAAATTCAATTCCTTCCTCAGTACAGAGTAGATTCAAACCCACATCTCCCACTTTCCAGGACAATACCATAATCAGCATATTATAGGGTAGGATGTGGGCACTCTCCACTCTTGCTACTGAGGCTGTGCCACTGTACATGGCAACAATATACATTCATAGAAGGAGAGAAAGTTAGAAGAGGGAGCATGGCTCAGTAGTCTAGTGACGAGGACACTCCCATGGGAGAGGGAAGTCCTAAATTCTGATCTCTGCTTCCAGGGATTGCTTATGCATTTTGCAGTCACTGGATGATACATAACAGTGTTGGGGGCAGGGACCGGAGCTGAGCACTTGCCTTTTTAAAAAGTTACTTAAAGATTTTGGTAGCTTTAAAAAAATATTACTTATGGTCACTAATGGTAATGTACCTTTTATAAAGACAGAAAGATTAAAAGAGATTTTAAAATATGGAATGAAAGAGCAGATTGAGGATTTTGCACAGTAAGGCATTTTATTTAGTAAGTAGTGAAATTGGATGAAGTTTTAGATAACTTTTGTGTCTTGGACCTGTTGAGCTGAATTTTTGCTTAATGTAACCCATAGAGAGCACAGGCAAAGTTACTGCAAATAGCAATGTCAATATTTGGAGAGGATGTGAATGATAGCTTTAGAATAAATGAAATGTAGATGGCCTTATTGGATTAAATTGCATATGAAACTGAACATCTTGAAAATAAACTACAATAAAAACATGAACATATTTATTAGGGTAACACTATATGAAATCCAGATAGACAAATTATAAATATGAATAATGGAGTCTAGATAGTGGAATTCTACTGAAGTTTAAGAGCTACAAGTTAACGTCCTGGCATTGCCTGAATGAGTTTTTTAAATGATAGCACAAAAGCACATTTTAAAATCTCATGTCCTGCTACACGATTATGAAAGGAAACTGTAGAATTACTGTCCCACTTTTATGAGCAGGGCCTTGTCTGTTACAGCTATGTATGCACTAGAGACTTATAAAAGGGCAGGGAAGGGTAGAGGTAAGAGGAAAATATGACTTTTCTCAACAATTCTCAATATTATATTAAAACAGTTTATATCCATATTTTAGTTCTAGCATTTTAATTTAATATATTCCATCTATATAGAAAGCATAAATAATCCTTAATTTACAGTTTTGTATTACTCATATTTAAGAGAGATACACTCAAGTACAGCTAGCTAAAACCTTAAATATATTTTAACCTGGTTTCTTTAAAAAAAAACCAAACACCAACCCCCCGCAAAAAACCTACAGCTTAATTTCCAGAAGATGCACTCATATCACAAATAAAAGAGGAAAAAACTCTCAACCAACAAACCAAACTAAATGTTGTTTTTTCCTCAGGCATAAGTAATCAAAGTCATAGTGGAAACAATGGTAGAGAATCACCTGATGTGCAAAACAAACCAAATGATGGTACCCGAGGACTGTATCTCACACACAAAAAACCCCCAGCGTGTCATTCAATACTGTAGTTGCATCTTTGGTTCTTTTCTGAACATGTAATATTAACTAATGTACTTTTACAAAGTTTCATTTTTCAATTAATATGTTTTATTTCATACTTGTTCCAAGTTGAAACAAGAGCTATATTTGCAGCTAAGGAAAGCAAAGATGAAACTCTGTTCTCTCTTTTGTGCTCAGCCGTACAATTTATTTTTCTCCTGGCAACAGATTTTAAATCTCTTTGCCTCTTTTTTTTTTCATGGGAACTGTTTGGTAAGTGCCGACATTAGAGCTGACAAAGCTTTGTGTGTTTTTTTTCCTTTGCCTGGTTTCTGTGTCTGTGTGTGCAGGCATGCATTCATTAACGTAATTCCTCAACATTCAACAAGAGCGCATCATAAACCAGGGGAAAAAAAGGCTCATAAATATTTAGATCCTCCCGTCTACCTTCCATACTAAAGTGAAAAAGAGTATTTAGTAGGGACTTGGTCTGAGTTAATCTGCATGTGAACTGAAAGGGGGTACAAAAGGATGAAAAGGTGGTGGAAACTAGCATACAAACCCCATAGTCTCCAGGGGGTCATTCATCTTGTTCTTGTCAATACAATCTCAGTCTCACTGCTTGGCTGTTTTCTGCGCATGACCAAATAGACTAGCTTTACAAAGAGAATGTTGCAAAGGATGTGCGTGTTTTGTTCCTGTTTGGTTCTGTCATGTAATTTTTGTGGAGGAGAAGGAAAGTACCTCACATTTTGGGAGTAACTGGCTTCTCTAATAGCTGCTTTGCATTTTTGCAGCCCACACACTGACATCTGAACTTAGTAATTTACATAAATAGACAAACAGAATGAGTGTGAAGCAATATTTGGATGATAATTAATGATGGAAAACACTTTGCATTTCAGAGTCTACCGCCCTTCCCACAGCGCTTATGTAAGAATCTTAGACATTTTAGTCTTATTTGGCATACAGTTGAAAGATTATATTATGGGCTCAGTTACTGTGAATCAAAATTAAAGTCTGTGTTTGTGTTAAAAAAGTCCACAATATCAAATGTATGCCTGATAAGTTATTGAAAAGAAGCCCAATAATCATCTTATAGGAAATAAGTGCCTTTCTTCCCAGGAATTCAGTAAAGGGTTAATCCAGGCACTCCTGCTATAATATATCCACAGTTCTGCATCAAATGTTATTTTAAAGAATTCTGAGATTTTTCAAAGTGAAAGCAGCTTTTATATGTACAATATTATATCAGTCTTATTTTACTGCTATTGAGAAAAAAACCTAATGAAAAAGGATTACAATTTTTTCTAATGACTTGGTACTTACAATTACTATGTTTAGATTGTTGTTTTACCCAAATGGACCCAAAGACCACTAAATTGTGTGAGTAGGGAGGTTTCAGATAATGGTTCTGTACGTGATAGAACTACGGATCAGACATCAGCAGGCCACAGTGGACCTTTTCTGGCTGTTGTGAGAACAAGTCCAGAAGGCAGTCAAGTTGAAAAAAGTAATGTAAATTGTTCTTTTATTTAATGAACTTTGTGTACAGTGTGGAGGTAAAAGGGAGAAACAAATAAATGCATTAAATGCCTGTCCCATCATAAAATATTTTAACATTTGAAATAGTTTAAACTTTTTTTATTAATACTATGTTGGGCTTTTGCTGATAGTAGCATGCTGGCAGCCAGCTGCCCAACTAACATAAAGGAAATAAGTTTAAGAAAATGTAACTTGATTTCCATAGTTAAGTCTTTTCCCCATTAAAATAAGCCCTCAATATTTTTTATTATTAGCTTTAACAAAGGCATGTTTAAAGAACTCCATTATTGGTAAAAAGCAGTAAATGTATAAATATAGCCTTGGTCATAGAGCACAATGCAATTGACCCCATTACTTATCAACTTACTGCTGTCACTCTGCCTCAAAGAACTTCATCCATTCTGAAATTTTATTAATGGTATACCCAGGGCTGGACACAGGCACGGGCGAATTGGGTGGCTGCCCGGGGACCAGACAGAAAAGGGGCCCAAAAATGGTAATTTTTTTTCATTGTCCAATTATTATCATCATCTCTGGCAAAGGAGGGCCGGATACTAAAAGTTTGCCTGGGGCCGCCAGGAGTCTAGGTACAGTGCTGGGTATACCACATCTATACTCAGAGGGTGAGGCTGATATTTCAGAATCAGCCAATGGAATAAGTGTTTACAAACTGCACAATGGAGCAGAACAGACAGGATTAATGCAACCATATTAATGCAAGCCAGCAGTATAACATCTGCCAGAAATATTTCACCTAGAAGAAATGATGAAGAGGGAGATATGTTTAAAGGAGGATCTTCCAGTGTTCTGCCTGGAACAGATGCGTAACAGTTAATGCCTGCCTGTAAAACTCTGGGAACCAGTAGCTTTCCTTGAGGTTAAAGGAAAACTGAGCTTAGCTGTCTGTCCTAACCCGTTCTTCTTTTTGGAAGGCAAAGTCGTTTGCAAGCTTGGCAACAAATGTGAGGGACTTTCCAGGCCTTCCTCAGGGAAAGAAAGCTGCTTAGGAATAGACTAGTTAACACCTGAGTCAGTGTTCATCTACTGTAGGTTCTTTGTAGTTTTATTTTGATTAAAGAGAGTTTTCCCTACCTTGCCCTGAGGAGCATTTTCTTCATAGTTCTTGCCCTGACCTGTTGTGTTGGTGGATGTTGTCATAATAGGACTGAACATCAGTTTATAAATCACAAAAAACAGCATTACTGTGTCAGCTACAAAACTGGATATTGGATTACAATGCCTAGGAAAGTGAAACCACCACTAGTTTGCTGTTTGTGATCAGAGGACGGCACTCTGTTATTTAAATCTGGAGGTGGAGGCACAGGCTGGAAAAACAAAATAAAAATGAGCGTGCTTAGTGGCTCTCAAAAAAACTTGAGGGAGTTAATAGTACATAACCTTTAAAACTAGACACATGAAAGGGTGCAGAAAATGGGTCACGTAACCCTAGCAGATCTAAATAAATATACTTTCCTTAATAATTTTGTTGGGAGAGACTTCCTAGAGTTCTAATAGTCATCCTTAATTCAGTAGTGGTACTGTAAATTTTGTCAAAGAAAGCTATTTAGCTTGCCACTGGCCAATGAAGACATGACCTTAACCAATCTGTCTTTTAAAATGTGTTAACTTATTAAAAAAATTATAATGCACATATATGACATTTTACATGTTTATAAATAAGTTTGAATCTTGTAGAATCAGCTGTTTAGAGACAGGCAAACAAAAATCCCATTTGAATATATAGGAAGTATGTTGTTTCTCTCTCCTCCCCAGTCAAAACTAAAACAGTTCATCTGGTTTTGTTCAGCTTTCCAAAAACCTCTCACCTTTGGACTGAGATCAATGATGGAAAATTTCAGGCTGAAAGAAATATTAGAAAGAATTATGAGAACGGGAGAGGAGACTATCAGAATGGAGCTGTCATTTCCAAACACTTCAGTCTTATCTATGGTGCCTGCTACACTAGATAGCTTCAGTGATAATTTCAGTTCTGTTGATTACAGGTTACTTTAGCTTGCTCTTATGCCCTAACTAGACTTTCAGTTTAGTCTGCCATCCCCCCGCAATGTATTTAATACCATGAGTTCTTGTCTGTACATTCTTGAAAAACATCCTTGTGGGATAACATTTTAATCAGTGGCACCACACTGTGATTAGGTGAGTAAGATTACCTTTCTGACTATACCTGCATAATACCTATTGTACGCAGGCACCTCCTAGACAGTCTAATCCTGCAAGTCTTTATTCAGATGGGCAGTTGTTTACATGCAGCAGAATGAGTTATACTTTCTGTCACAAACCTGCCACCCAGATTACTGTTCAGAACTAAAAGCATGAAGCTCATTTGCTACAATTTTATTACATTTGTCATTTGATAAAATCTTTCAAATACGTATATGAGTGTAAATCAATGATGTGAAAGGTATTAAACTTCCCCAGATTACACTAAGTTCATGCTTATGTAACCTTTCCTCAGAGTTCCTGATACGCAGGCCTGTTTAACCTTATAGCTATCCTTATAATATGTATAAATACTAGTTTACATAGGGGGTCTTTATATATTGTTTCCAATTATCTTGTCTTGGATAGGAGTGTACATCTTGTGCATTATCCCCTGGAACTAGACATCTTTCTGTTAAACTAGTGACCAATATATCACTAAATAAACAGACATGCAACCCTGGATCAAGTGATTGGGCTGCGTTTTATTCTGGGGGAACTGGCTTCCTTTTGAACTGTAACAGCTGATACCTTTTGGCTTTAAGCCCAGGATCCTGTTTACTTGGACTGCCGTGATTCCTCCTTGGAGGTCCAATGACAGTCAAAAAAAAGGCACCAGTTGAATCTGTTCAGAAGTGCTAATACATAAGGCACATATTTTTTAATGCTTCCTGTAACTTCAGAGGACATCCTGCGGTATATCCAAATCCTTCAGTAATCGTTCTTTGCATTTATATACAAAGGTTTTCATCCAAGCAAACGTCTTAAAGTACTTTAGTAAAAAGCATTTCATGGCTTTTGAAATGTAAAAGTGGTGGAAAAGACCCTAGGGCACCTCAGAACTACAAAGCATATGGCTGCTATGTTCCAGTGGAGAACTCCCAAGTTCAGCTGCAAGTGTGAAGGAAAGTTTGGGGAAGAATGAAGGAAATAAGCAGGGCCCCATCTTCCTCTCACATAGAAAATACCAGAGAAAAATACCATAGCAAATGTTGTGATGTTAGACACTGTTTCTACTCCTCCCTCTTTTGAGGAAGGATGTGAACCCCCATGTGCACTCACTTATCTATGAATTGATAAAGCAGGAAGCCAGGCCTCTAAATACACTGGAGCATGACGGTCTGCATGAAAAAAATCAAACCATAAGGGCATCTGTGTACAGAACCAATAAGCACAGTAGTGTTGCATGGCTGTCCTTTGCTTTAGCTGAATGCTCTTGAGTAAATGCAGTTGATTTCCTAGAGCTTTTTGAGACTTTTGTAACTTACACTGAGCATGTCCACACATTCATTAATGTGCTGTAGTTACTGTGCATTTAGTTTAGTACTTTCTGAATGACTGAATACACAGTAACTACATTTACTGCGTGGTAGCACCAGCGCGTGTTTTTTTGTGACACTTACTGTGCAGTAGCCTAATAACACTGTGCAGTAGGTTATTAGCATGGTTTTTGACAGTCTCACTACTGCACAGTATTATTAGGCTACCGTCCAGTAAGCGTCTTGTGTAGACATGACCACAGTTTGTTTCTTTCCAAGCCTTCTACCAGAAGGGGAAAATCTGTGGTTATAAAGCATAAAGAATGCTGAGGCAAGGATTTGGGGTCCCAGGAGGTGTGCTGTCTGCTGAGAGCCTATATTCAGGATGTACAGAAAAACTGCCAAGGCTCACCCATCCCTCAGCCCACTGGTTTTCAAACTGTTTTGCAGAACCCTGGGGTTCCACGAAGAGACTGAGGGTAATGGTGAAGCAGGGCAGGAGTGGTGTGCCACCCTTACCAGGCTGGGTTGCCTGGCTTTGCATCAGCCAGAATAGGATTTGTGAACCTGAGATGGGGAAAGTATGAGGTCAGCAGAACTAAGCTGCTAGACTTCAAAAAGGCAGATTTCAACCGACACAAGGAGTTAATGGGCATGGTGCCATGGGAAGACAGATTGAAGGATAAGGCACCCAAGAGGGCTGGAAGCTTCTAAAGGGTACACTATTGGCAGCCCAACAAGAAACTGTTCTGATATGATGGAAGCATAAGAAGAATGGCAAGAGACCAATGTGGATGCATGAGGAGCTTCTTGGATGCCTCAAATGCAAAAGGAAGGCATATGGGCAATGGAAAGGTGGATAGATCATTAAGGAAGTATACCAGGAAATAGCAAGAACTTGCAGGAACAAAATCAGGAAGGCAAAGGTAAAAATAAGAAGTTGGGGGGGAAGGTAAAAATGAGCTGTGAGTGAAGTTAAAGACAACAAGGAGAGGTTTTATAAGTATGTTAACCAGAAAAAAAGGCCCAGGAAACTGCAGGTTCACTGTTAAATAGCCGGCATGGAGAACTCTAACAGAAGATGCAAAGGAGACAGAGCCACTTGACAGTTACTTTGCTGTTAACCTGCCACCAGACACCTAATAAAGACTAGTTGGATAAGGAAGGGGTGAGATAACAAAAAAGCTAGAGAGCTCTTAATGGGTCTGAATGAATTCAAGTCAGCAGGGCCTAATGAACTTTATGCCAGGGTACTATAGGAACTGGCAGACAACGTCTCTGAACCCTTGGCAATGATCTTCATGAAGTCATGGGAGATGGGCGAGGTACCAGAAGACTGGAAAAGGGCCAATATAGTGTCCCTCTTTTAAAAATGGCAAAAAAGAGGATCTGGGGAACTACAGGCCAGTTAACCTCATGTCAATACCTGGGAAGTTACTAGACTATATCCTAAGAAAATCCATTTTCAAGCATTTGGGGGAGGAAAGGCTATTCACAAGAAACCAGCATGGATTTATGATGAAGAAATCATTCCAAATAAATTTGCTTTCCTTCTTCAACAAGATAGCTAGTTGGGTGGGAGAACGGAATGCTGTGATATAGTGTATCTAGATAGCTTTTGATATGGTTCCATGTGATCTTTTTAAACAAAGTGAAGAAATGAAGGCTGAAAAAAACTACTGTATGGTGGATTGACAACTGGCTCTGTAGCCACAAGCAAAATTATAAATCAATCTATGTCAGAATGGTAGGAGTTTTTGAATGGAGACCCCCAAGAGTCCATCCTCGGCCAGTGCTGTTCACCATGTTTACTGTATTAATAATGTGGATGCTGGCATAGGAAGCTTCTGGCGCAAAACTGCAGACAACACAGAACTGGGAAGGACTGTGAACATGCTGAAGGACTGGAGCACGATTCAGAAGGATCTTAAGAGATTGCAAAACCAGGCTGAATCTTGAAGTCTAATGCTGACAAATGCAAGGTATTACACTTTGAGACAACCCCCCATGCAATAACTGGATTTTATTCATGAAAAAATTATGACAAATTAATAAATTGTCCAGGTATAGATTCTAAGTATTGAGGGAGGGGGCTATCTTAAATTTGAAGTTTTCTTGGATTCAGGTAAATACAATCTCTTTCTTGCTGCAGAGAGAAAACACAGACCAATGGCTTGGAGTTGCAGCAATCAGGAAAAACTTCATCACTGTTAGAACTGTGAGGCAATAGAATAGATTGCCTAGGGAAGTTGTGGACTCTCCATAATTGGAGGTGTTCAAGCGGTTGGGCAGGCATTAGTCAGGGATGTTTTAGGAGTAGCTATGCCTGTGCTTTATTACGGGTACACTCTATGCTTCTGGGCTTTGCTGTTTGCCACATGGGGCCAGGAAGGATTTTTTCCCCTTTCCTGTTGATACATATGACAGGGTGTTTTTCTTCCCTCATTCCTCCAAAACACTGCAGCTAGTGCTGAGGATTTTGATTTGGGTGTGCCAATGCTCCTGGTTGAAACAAATCTGGAGGGTCCTGGCTAGAGTGTTTTAACCCTCCACTCAGGGTTGGACCTAGGGTCAGGGAGGAATTTTACTCCATGGTCAGATTGTGGGAAGTTTTGCCTTCCTTTGGAGTGGGGGGCATGGCCCTCTTCCTTGCATTGCTCGATCGTATTTTAACGACTGTCACAGCAGTAGAACATTGGCCAGCATTGTTGCCCTGTTTTATCTGTAGCAGGTTAGGGTGTTAAACTCTGTGGTTGTGTCAGGGTTGACTGTGTAGTTTTACTAACAAACTGGACAATTGATTTGTATAGGATGCTTTGGGTAGGGATGAACCTGGCAGGGAGGCTGGACTAGGTGACCTCTGAAGGTCCCATCCAGCCCTTCTTTTCTATGATCCTATGATTTCGTCTTCCATTTTTTAACTTGTATAAAAAGACATTCTGTATTTAACAAAGGTAAATACAGTATTTATAAAGAATTTACAAAGAATTACTCAGAAGGAACAATACCTATCAAGGACTATGCAACATGAAATAATATTTTGTCATGTTTTCAGATTGACAAACAATACTTTATTACCAAACTACACTAATAAATACCAACACCTATGCTTTGCCTAAAAGTTTTACAAATGGCTATGTCTGGCTACATACAAGATAAACTCTTTGTGGGTAAGGACTGCTGTCACTTACATTTACAGCATGAAGCGCAGATAATACGTCACTAATAAATCATAGTACAAATCAACAAGCATGTACCTGTACAGTTTGGGTCTGCTAATGTGTGAATTAGTATTTCCATGTTAAAGTGCTACTTGCTTAATCTATTCACAAACAATAAATTTGAGGTTGAAAGTGCCTCAGTTGTGTTTAGCAACAACCAGCCC